GATCTACCACCTTAGTCTCCGGAACATGCAGAGCAACTCCTTTCCTTGAATGCACAGACGATCCTCCATTCATCAGCTGGAGTCTCAGTTCATGAGCAGCAAAAGTCCCCACAGCCTCTTTGAAGGTGACTGTATCCAAATTGTTAACACCTTCAAACACCAAGATCTGTGAGTGAAACTTGGTTGGTAGACAGTTCAGCAGTTTCTTCACTAGCTTGTCATCATTAATCCTCCTACCAAGTACACTTGCCTCATTATCCTTGACACCTTCATCATCTCCCATCCTTAGACGTTCAAATTGCAGATCAATCATGTCCAGTCTGTTTCTTTTTACCTTAGAGGTTTCTTCATGGATGAGTTCCAAGGTGTCCCAGGCTTCTTTGGCAGTTTCACATCCTTGAATCTGCTCAAATTCCTCATGACACACACTGCTGAATATTATTGATAGTGCCTTCTGATTCATAGCAGAATCTTTCTTCTCTTGAGGAGTCCATTGACTCTTTGGTTTTGCTTTTATGACTCCATCAATAACATCAGTTGGTCGAGTCCATCCATCAGTAACCGCACTCCATGTGTCTTCATCTAATCCTCGGATGTAAGAGCTGATTTTAACTTTCCAAAGTCCATAGTTGGTTGAGTCAAGCATAACTGTCTTTCCAAGCGATTGTAGATCTTTGAATCCTTCCATCGTGTGTATCTGAATCGTACATCGATATGAGAGGAACACTTTCCTACGATCGGTGACCTGCTCTGATACCAATTGAAAATACTCCACACACGATATGATAAACCAGAAATACCAAAACTGATTCTATTTCTTTGATACGAGTCAAATACACTTCAGTACTTTCCAAGTAGTACTCAACCCTCACCAATTTCACTCCCTCTGAATGAAACTTTAGTATCACAAGAAATTCTATCAGCCCAAAGACACACTGTGCACAGCGCACACCACGTGTCACCCTAGAACTCGTCTAGGCACGGAGCGGTTCGCCTGTAATTTCAAGGCTCCCCCTCAAGTCGATCTCACCTTCTCTCAGTTCTCACTCACCGGTGTTTCCCTTACAAAAGATCTTTCACAATGTCTCTCTCAAAAACCCTTTTTCTTGACAATCTCGACAACCATCCTAATGTCTCGTTCCTTGCATATATACGCCTTTCTTCTTTGATTCATCAAATATCCTCTTCATAAACATTCTTCCTTTTCTTCTTGAATGTAGCTGCCTTCTTTCCGTTTTCCATTTTCTTTCCTTATGTGCTTTCCATGCGTAGCTCCACATTTCCATTTTCTTGTTTGATCTTCTAGATGCTGAATATGCACTTCCCTTGCTTCAACACATACCATATTATATTATTTAACATGGTACATAATATAGACTTGTATACATACACATATAGTAAAATAATACATATTAACTATACCCCTATAATAATAGGTATGCAAATAATTTTGTGCCTAATACACAAAATTAGTCCGCTATGTTTTTGTAATTATGGGTATACATAATCATGGTTTAACATGATTTTGGTACACTCGTGGATATAATGGGTAAACTGTGGTATTATTTAGGACGTAGTTTGTGATATAAACGGTTATTGTGTATAATCTGTTATATACCCCGATATGTACGGGGTAAGCCCGTACATACATATATATAAAAAATGTAATTATGTTTTATGGTTATTGTTACGATGATATTATAATGTAGTTATCTGTTTTGTTTTAGAGTAATTGAACATGTAAATATTATATAGGAACGTGAGTTGGTTACATATACACGCAGAACTACATGTTGTTACAAATGATATTTGAGAGTGCAGACCCTAAGTTCTCCTCGCCGAGCGAAACCCTAAAATCTCGTCCCCGCCGTTTCTCCTCCGGTCGGTGCTCCGCCGGCTGGAGACAACCCTTCTCGCCTCCCGGGTTGCTCACAATGGCGAAGAAGAGGAACCACAAGCCCACAGCCCCTTCCCCCAAACACTCACCACCCCCACAAATCGACCACGACGCCCCTCCGTCCCCCTCAACCACAACCAAAATCCAGCCAAATCTGGCTGTGGCTTCTCCGAATAAGGAAAATTCTGAGCAGATCCACCCTCACCCCTCTTCGGCTGATGCAGCGGCGGTTGTCTCTGTCTCTCTCCCGAATGTTGCAGCGGAGATTGCCTCCGATGCTTCTCCCTTCCACGCCGACGACTTTCCTCCGCTCCCAGGTACTTCCTCTAGCTCCGGTGAACGGAAATCTGCTGCTAGATTAGCTCCTGCCCCGCCATCAGTAGCAGTTGCTAGGCCTAGCGCACAATCCAAGTCGGCACCTAAGTCTTGCTCTGCTGGGCCATCCTCTGTTGATACACAGTCTACTCCTAGCCTTAACTTTCCCTGGGCCAATCGGCTTCGAAAATCCTCACGGAACCTCTCGCGACTTGTCACACCTACTTACACAGAAAATGGTACCCCTAGAATCAAGGTGCCCAGCTCAGTCTTCCGTGAAGCCTCCAAAGCTTGGACGGGATATTTGGTTGGCCAGTTCTACGGTATCTCGCCCAACCCATCGAAAATTTTCCAAGCCCTCAATCCGATATGGGGTAGGAAATCTCGTATTACTGTTCGCCGCATCAGCGACTCCGCCTGCTTATTCTTCATCCCGGATCTCGCAACTAGAGAATGGGCGCTTGAGGTCGGCCTTTGGCGGGTTGCGGATGTCATGTTCGCCCTCACTGAATGGAATCCGACATCAACTTTGCGTAAACCAACCCTTAAGTCAGCTCCAGTATGGGTCACGCTGCGAAATATCCCACCTGAGATGTTTTCTCTGCAAGGTATCAGCTACATTGCGAGTGGCCTTGGGGAACCTCTCCACACCGAAAGAATGCGACTAGATCCAATGACCATCGGTGAAGCAAAGGTCAAAGTTGAGATTCAGCTTGGGGCTCCTCTCCCGGCAAAGGTAGAGGTTGAAGATGATGTCGGTGAGGTCAGTACGATAGAGGTTATTTATGCATGGATCCCTCCTCGTTGTGATGGCTGCAAAGAATTTGGTCACAAACTTCACGCATGTCCTTTCAAGTCTGCTCCATCAGCCATTTCGGAGCAAGCAGAGGACACTCATCAGGCTCCGTCTGCCTCGGCAGCACTAGGTCATCAGACCACCGATCCAAAATTTGTTGGACAGGGGGCTTCCACCACACCAGCCTCACAACCCACACCCACCAAGCCGTCACCTGAAAACCCTTCTCCGCCTCCCCCTATTCCCTCACAAAATCAAACCCCGCCCTCCAATCTTACACCACCGCCCACACAAAAACCACCCACGCCAAATCAGCCTGATCTACCACATGAACCTCTTAGTACTGCAGATGCTAGGCCAACACAGAAGGCCAGATTCTCTTTTGACTCGGAGGATCTCTTAGTTGCAGAAGCTCAGAGGATCCTGCGATCCAGATCAACCGTCATCAACCTTTCCCAAGTAGACCCTATAGAAAAGGGTAAAAGGGGGAAGGGCCGTATCAACTAATTTTAGTCTGATCCCATGTTTTTTTTGGGTTTTGGTTTTGGGTTTTGACTACAGCAGCCTTCTATGAAGATATTTTGTTGGAATGTGCGTGGCCTAAATGGCACTTGTAAGCAGCGGAATGTTAAGAACTGGATTGAATCACACAGACCTCTCATTGGTGGGATTGTGGAAACCCGGATACGAGAGGAGTTAGAAGCCCGTCGAGTTGCGCAATCGTTATTCCCGGGCTGGTCGATCATCAGTAACTACTCTTCTGCTATTTTGGGAAGAATTTTGATAGCATGGGATCCGGCATTGTCCGTTGTGGTGTATTCCTCAACAGCCCAAATAATAACTTGTGGAGTTTACGAACTTTCCTCTGGCAGATATGTCACCATCTCTTTTGTCTACGGTAGAAACACGTCGATCGAGCGAAGAGAACTTTGGGATGAAATTTCGCAGATTGCGTGCAACAGTTTGGTTGAGCACAACCCTTGGCTTTTGTTGGGGGATTTCAACCAAATTCTCCAGCCGGCTGATCACTTCTCGGATAAGTACCCCTTCAATCCTCACTCTGGTATGTATGACTTCCAAAACTGTCTTGGCACTAGTGGTCTCTTTGATCTTAATGGAAGGGGGGAACACTTCACTTGGTCCAACAACAACTCTGACAGCCTTATCTTGCGGAAGCTCGATAGAGCTATCGTAAATGAAAAGTGGTTGCTCAGTTTTCCGGACTCATTTGCCCTATACGAACCTCCGGCGCCCTCCGATCATTGCCCATGCATTGTCTCTATCCCCCCAAACTCTCAGCTTATGCGCAGATCTAGCTTCAAGTTTCTCCATTGCCTGATGCAACATCCAGACTTCACCTCTATCGTCCGTAGGGAATGGCCTAACGGTGATACACAAGGCTCATGTATGTTCCGCCTTGTCACCAAGCTCAAGTACCTAAAAGGACATCTGCGAGCGCTAAAACGCTCATCTTACAACAACCTTCAACAGCGCACTGAGGAGGCACTGGACAACCTGAAAGCGGCGCAAGCCGCCCTTTTTCTCAACCCCTCTCACGAGGCTGTGCATTTGGAGGCTGACCTCCGTGCATCTTGGTCATCCTTGGCATCAGCGGAAGAATCCTTCCTCCGCCAAAAATCTCGTATTCGTTGGCTCAAGGAGGGAGACCAAAATACGAGATTTTTTCATCGGGTTTCGGTGGCAAGGCAAGCTTCTAACGCTATTCGCTTTCTTGTGACTGATGCAGGAACAAAAGTCTATGATGTTCCCACTATGAAACAAATGGCGGTTGATCATTTTAAGCAAATCCTGGGGAGCTGCGATGAGTCCTTAGTTGGCTGGTCTATCCAACAAGCTAAGGAGATTCTTGACTACCGTTGCCCGGAACTTATGGGGTGCCTCCTAACAGCGATCCCATCGGATGAAGACATCAAGGCGGAGGTCTTCAACCTACCCAAAAGCAAAGCTCCGGGGCCTGATGAATATTCAGCGGAGTTTTTCACCTCTTGTTGGGAGACCATTGGTGCGGACCTTATAGCTGCCATTCAAGAATTCTTTTGCTCGGGGAAGTTACTACGGCAGTGGAATGCCACCCTGATTACCCTAATCCCGAAGTCTAGGAAAGCGGATCAGCTGAAAGATTTTCGGCCAATTGCTTGCTGCAATACCATCTACAAGATTATTTCACGCATCCTATCAAGGAGGCTAAAGCTGCTCATGGACCAAGCTATTACGCCGAATCAATCGGCGTTCATTCCGGGAAGATCAATCACGGAGAACATTCTCTTAGCGACAGAACTGATCTCCGATTTCAGCCGGAGAGGAAGGCCAAAAATGGGTATTATCAAAGCCGACATAAGCAAGGCGTTTGACACTGTCCAGTGGGACTTTGTCTTGACAATCCTACAAGCAATGGAAATCCCTCCAAGGTTTATCTCATGGATTGGGGAATGTATCTCAACAGCTATGTACTCTATCTCTTTCAATGGCGAGATCACGGGCTTTTTCCAGGGGAAGAGGGGACTCCGTCAAGGAGACCCTCTCTCTCCCTATCTCTTCGTACTCGTCATGAATGTGCTCTCAAAGTTTCTGGACACGGCGGCCACGGAGGGTAGACTTACCTTACCACCGCACTGTCGTACTCCACTGATCTCTCATTTATGCTTTGCAGATGATGTTCTTGTTTTCTCGGATAGCTCGAGCAGGTCACTATCGACCATTCTGCGAACGTTCGACGAGTTCTATCGCCTATCGGGCCTAAAGCTCAACAAGGTGAAGACATGCCTCTTCCTTGACGGGGATGAGTGTCACACCAAAGCTGACATTGCTGAGAGCCTTGGTATCTCCCTATCTTCCTTGCCAGTTCGTTACTTGGGACTACCCTTAACTGCAACCAAACTCGGTGAGGCCGACTGCTCTCGGCTTAAGGAAGCAATCAAAAGTCGCCTCTCTTCTTGGACTGTTCGTCATCTCTCCTTTGCTGGTCGCCTACAATTGATCAAATCTGTAATTTACAGTGTCATTACCTATTGGGCCTCTGCTTTTATTATCCCTGGCAGATGTGCCAAAGACATTGAGCGTATGTGCTCTGCCTTTCTTTGGAAAGGAGTTATTGGGTCTGCGCGGGGAGCTAAGGTTTCATGGTCCAGTATATGCCTTCCTAAGAAGCATGGCGGGTTGGGGCTCAAAAAGATAACCGACTGGAACCGGATTTTATGCCTGAAGATGATCTGGAATCTCTTTGCTAAGGCTGGCTCACTTTGGGTGGCATGGACTCAAGCTCATCGCATCAAAGGCCGACCTTTCTGGACTCTCAGGAGAAACGGCAAGGGGAGCTGGGCCTGGAGACGCTTGCTGAAGATCAGACCGCTGGCGTATCCGTTTCTGCGATGTCAGGTCGGTAATGGACGGAGCTGCAGCTTCTGGTTCGACTCATGGCTCCCATCCGGCCCGCTGATCAATGTTCTTTGTGAACTCGGTCCCCGGCAGCTGGGTATACCAAGGAATGCAACTGTAAATCGAGCAGTTGACGGAGAAGGATGGCTTCTTCCTCCTGCAAGGAGCCCGCAAGCTGTACAGATCCATTGCGAGCTACTGAACCACCCGGTGCCGCATCCGGATAACAATGACGACGTCTTTTATTGGGCAGACAAGCATTGCTCCGACCGGCTTCCCATTTTCTCCACTAGTAAGGCTTGGAAACTACATCAGATTTTACCGCCCCCTGTAACATGGCATAAATCGGTATGGTTTCCGAGATCTATACCTAAGCATTCTTTCATTGTTTGGTTGGCTGCAAAGAACCGTCTCCCTACTAAGGATAGATTACTTAGCTGGGGCTTGGATGTTGCGGATACTTGTGTTCTATGTGATAGCTCGGTGGAATCAGTAGACCACCTGTTTTTTTGCTGCCAGTACACTCATGTTGTTTGGTCTGCCATCCTTGCACCGGCAGTCATTCAACCCCCTTCCTTGATGACTTTCGAAGACCAGTTGCAATGGCTGTCTAGCTGGCCAGGTACCGGGCTTCTGAAACTCATGGTTTCGCTCCTCTTTCAGGCAACTGTCTACATAACTTGGCAAGAGCGTAATGCCAGATTGCATAACTCGGTTGCTAAGGGCCCCCACTGTCTTACGAAAAGAAATTTTGCGCATTGTTCGGTGCAAAATCTCTGCCATGAGAGAGAGTTTGTTGGTGACTCACGAGGAAAGTCCTCTTACTGTCTGGTTCCGTGTATTTGATCCCTTAATGTAACTCCCAGGTTGTATTGAGTATGGGCTACTGTTGTAATTCACACAACTGACTCTTGTTTATTATTATTATATATGGCATTTACATTTTTACAAAAAAAAAAAAAAAAAAGATATTTGAGAGTGCATCATTTTATTTGTATGGGTATCAATAAATGATGTTTGAGTGCTTTATGGATAATGTTAAAGTGCATGATGTACCCATATTGTATGTATTTTGTACATAAATAGGGTAACACAATATACGGACATTTTTAACGTAATTTTTGTTATCAGATAACATCTACAGTGATATAGTTAATATATTTAATACATATAGGCACGATAGAACTGATACAATGTAATAGCATCAATACACTCTATATATAAATTATGTATAGAGTGCAAATATAGAGTGCATATAAAAATGTTTATCGTTTAGTTATCGTATATACAATTACATATAACTATCGATCATGTGTTACTACAATATATGTTATATGGTGTGATGCATCTATATGTTTTATATAATATCGAGTACATGTTCGCGATATATGATAACTTGAGTCCTTTGGAGATATATGTAACCATATCACTCTATTATATATGTTTATTATGGGTTTGTTTTCTTTATATATACACATAGGTAATCTTAGTGCCATATACCACTAAGATTACCTATACCCACACCACGTGAGGTTTGTTACAGTTTTATCATACATTGTATATATATATGGACATTTTTGTATATGTATATGGGTGCATATAAAAATGTAGAGACAAACTACGTTTAGTGTGGTTTCAAAGAGAGGACCATATGAAGCGGCCGATAGAAAAGACAATCTTTGTGTAGCCCTAGCCGCCGCTAATCGTCTTTCCCCAAACCACCAGCCAGCCCACTGCTGGTTGGCTCCGCCGGTCATACAGGAACCTTTTCCTGTCATGGCAAGAAATCGTCAGTCAAAACCTTCTTCACCCTCCCCACCGGAGAAAACCCCGGTGGGTACCCCCTCCGCAAATCCATCACCCCCTTTGGAGATTCCTCCGTCGCTTCCACGGGAGGAACCCCAACCACCTTCGTCTTTCCTTCCCTCTGATTTCCCCCCTCTCCCCACTGCCTCGGCTCGAGCTTCACCCCTGATTGAAACCTCCTCGCCGAAGCCTCCTCCGCCTAATGCAGCACAAGCTCCTCCGCCAGCTTCCCCTTCTGCTAGCTGTCAGGACTTGCAATTCCCTTGGGCTCAACGTCTTCGCCAGTCCTCACGGAATCTCTCACGTATGGGCAAGCCATCCATCTCACCTGAAGGCATTCCCCGAATCAGAGTTCCAAGCTCTGTCTTTCAGGAGGCATCGAAGGCTTGGGCCAGCTATCTTGTGGGTCAATTCTACGGTGTTGTTCCTAACTCGTCGATCTGGGCAGGAAATCTCGTGTCACCGTCCGGCGCACCAGTGACTCGGCGTGTCTCTTCTTCATTCCTGATCTTGCTACTCGGGAATGGGCCCTAGAAATTGGAATCTGGAGGGTAGCCGATGTTATGTTTGTCCTCTCAGAGTGGACTCCGACCTCCAATCTCCGTAAGCCGGTTCTCACCTCAACCCCTATATGGATTACCCTCCGAAATATTCCCCCGGAGATGTATTCCCTGCAGGGGATTAGTTACATCGCTTCAGGCCTCGGTGAACCGCTTCATACTGAAAGGATGCGCCTCGATCCGCTGCATATTGGTGAAGCTCGGGTCAAGGTAGAAATTCAGCTCAGTGCCTCTTTAACTCTTCCCCCTGTCATTGAAGTTAAAGATGACACCGGCGAAGTCATAAAGGTTGATGTCACCTACGCTTGGCTTCCTCCACGTTGCTCTTTCTGCTCTGAATTTGGTCACAACTTGCAGCGCTGCCCAACCAGGCCCCTAGATCATTCGCTTAAGCAAGCCATCAAGGCAAATGACAACACCGGCTCCCTGGCCTCGGACAAGCCTGTAAACATGGTCTCTTGTCCTGCAGATCCTCTTGCCCCTCCGGCCCAGGAAACCCCTCCCTCTTCCCCTTATACTGCTACGCAGGCTATTTCGGCTGAGGCAATTCCACTGCCAAAAGCCTTAGTTTCTGCTCCAGCCACTGAAGATGTACTTCCCCAAACGGCAGCCATCCCTGGGCCTGTGCCGCCCACTACATCTGCTGTATCATTGACGCCGCTTCAGAATCAGTGTTCTCTATCAGAACAACTCCCCAAGTTCTGTTTTGATTCTGAGGACACCTTGGTAGCCGAAGCTCAACGTATCCTACGCTCTCGCTCATCTGCCTTGCCCAAGGCCCTAGTCGATCCCCTCGATAAAAAGAAGGTCGCAAGGACAATGGTAAAAGAGCTTAACCTTTTCATGATCCTATGCTTTTTGGATTTTGGTAGCATGAAGATATTTTGTTGGAATATAAGAGGCCTAAACGGCCATTCGAAGCAACGCCTGATTAAGGACTGGGTCAGATCACAATCTCCGTTGATAGGAGGTCTTGTTGAGACACGCATCAGGGATGAGTCTGATGCTTACAAGGCTGCCCGCACCATTTTTCCGGGTTAGTCATCCTATACCAACCATGGTTCCGACATTTTGGGTAGGATTTTGCTAGCATGGGATCTGGCTTTATCTGTAGTATTCATCATCGGCTCAAATGGTTACATGTGGTGCTTACGAGTTAGCATCGGGGATTTACGTCTCCATATCTTTTGTTTACGCCAAGAACTCTCCAACCGAGAGACGAGAACTATGGGAAGAGATCATGTTGCTGGCAGCTAACCCCCTCATTTCCACCCGACCATGGTTGCTCACAGGGGACTTCAATCAAATCATGCGGTCTTCTGAACATGCTTCCCCTACATCTCCATTCTCTTCCAACTTGGGCATGCAAGATATTCAGGCTTGTCTCGCCTCCACATCACTCTTCGACATTGCTGCCAGGGGACATTTTTTTACATGGTCTAATCATAGTGTGGACAACCCTATAGTCAGGAAGCTTGATAGAGCACTCATCAACGAACAATGGTTGCTCTCTCATCCGGGTTCATTTGCTCTTTTTGAATCGCCAGCACCTTCAGACCATTGCCCATGTGTTATTCACATCCCCTCTGCATCCGTTACAAAGAGAAGAACTGCTTTCAAGTTCTTCCATTTCCTGTTGCAGCACCTGGATTTTCTGCCGCTCATCCAATGCGAATGGTCGAATTATGCTGTAAATGGGTCTCACATGTTTCGATTCTTTGCAAGGTTAAAACATGTTAAGCGCCACTTGCGAAACCTGAATAAAACTGCTTTCAGTAATATTCAGCTCCGTTCACGCGAGGCATTGGAAAATCTGCATCATCTCCAGGCTTTACACCTTTCTAATCCGGCCACGGAAACAGCAAGGGTTGAAGCAGAAGCCCGAGCTACTTGGGCAAAACTGGCAGCTGCGGAGGAAGCTTTCCACCGCCAAAAATCGCGTATCAAGTGGCTTAAAGAGGGGGACCAGAACACTAAGTTCTTTCACAGGGTATCTGTGGCTCGTAAGGCGACTAATTCTATTCATTTTCTGGTTAATGATGCAGGAAACAAAACTTATGACCTTGCGACAATGAAACACATGGCGGTAGAGTATTTTACCTCTCTTCAGGGAAGCCGCGACCCTTCTCTTGTGGATTGTCCGCTTGAATCTGCTCGTCAGTTGCTCCCTTTCAGATGCCCCCCCTCTCTGGCAAACTCGTTGGTTACGCTTCCTACCTTGGAAGAGATTAAATGTGAAGTCTTCAATCTCCCGCAGAACAAAGCCCCGAGTCCGGATGGGTTCACAACAGAATTTCTCACTTCCTGTTGGGAGATTATTGGCCTGGACTTCTCAAAAGCGGTTATTGAATTCTTCCAGACAAGCAGAATGTTACGCCAATGGAACTCGACTCTGATTACTCTTATCCCCAAGCATCGGGCTGCCGAGCACCTAAAACACTTTCGTCCGATTTCGTGCTGCAACACCACCTACAAAGTTATCTCCCGGATTATGGCCAAAAAGCTACGCACTATCTTAGATCAAGCAATCTTGCCGAATCAAACAGCTTTTGTTCCGGGACGCTCTATCACCGAGAACATTCTTCTGGCAACAGAGCTCATCTCGGACTTTAATAAAAGGGGAAGGCCCTCAAAGGCTTACTTAAGATTGACCTTAGTAAGGCCTTTGACACGATTGATTGGCGGTTCATCCATACCATTCTCACGGCGATGGCTATCCCGCCAAGATTCACGTCTTGGGTTATGGATTGCGTGACTACAACTTCATATTCCATCTCTTTCAATGGTGAGATTACTGGCTTCTTCAAAGGAGAGCGAGGTTTAAGGCAAGGTGACCCCATCTCTCCCTATCTCTTTGTTTTAGCAATGAATGTCCTCTCTTCAATGTTGAACTCTGCTGCTCGTAATGGTCGTATATCTCTGCCTCTGAAATGTCGAAGTGCCTTGGTGTCTCACCTTTGTTTTGCTGATGATATCTTAGTATTTTCGGACTGCTCGTCTCATTCTCTGGCCGCTGTTCTTGATATCCTTGATGGCTTTTATACTTCATCTGGCCTAAAAGTTGATCGGAGCAAGACTTGTATATTTCTGGACGGCGACGACCCGACTCAGGCTTCGGACATTGCAGCAAGTCTGGGAATTACGCAAGCTTCTCTGCCTGTTCGTTATCTTGGCTTACCACTATCGTCCTCGAAACTTAGAGAGGGGGATTATGCCATCTTACGGGAGACTGTCCATGCTCGTCTCAACTCATGGACTGCAAAGCACTTGTCGTTTGCGGGACGGTTACAGCTGATGCAATCTGTGATATATAGCATCATAACATTTTGGGCTTCGGCGTTTATTATCCCTAAAAGTTGTGTGACTGCGATTGAACGCATGTGTTCGGCCTTCTTATGGAAGGGTACAGCAGAATCAGCTCGCGGTGCAAAGGTTGCATGGAGTAGTATATGTCAGCCTAAACGTCATGGGGGCCTGAATCTCAAGAGGATAGGAGTCTGGAACAGAATTCTTTGTCTAAAACTTATCTGGAATTTGTTTGTAAGAGGGGGATCTTTGTGGGTTGCTTGGACTTGGGAGAACCTTATCAAGCGAAAACCTTTCTGGTTGGTGAGAGCTCAAGGTATAGGCAGCTGGGCCTAGCGACACCTTCTTAAGCTCCGCCCTCTGGCACGACAGTTCTTACGATGTCGGCTTGGCAACGGTAAGAGATGCAGCTTCTGGTTTGATAGTTGGCTTCCCTCGGGGCCCTTGGTCATGACACTTGGGGACTCGGGTCCGCTCCAGCTGGGTATTCCGCGACTATCATCTGTTGCGGATGTCTTCTCTGCCTCAACGGGCTGGCGCCTTCCCCCAGCAAGGAGTGACACCGTTGAGCATATCTATGAAGAGCTGCTACAACTTACGCCCCCTCACCCTCAGGTCCCAATGACTCTTTCTATTGGTCTGATACTTTCTCTTTTACAGCTACACCTCGCTTCTCCACTAGCACGGCTTGGAAGCAGAATCGACTGTTGTCTCCTGCTGTTTCCTGGCATAAGGTGGTTTGGTTTGCTGGTGCTATCCCAAAGCACTCTTTCATTGTCTGGTTGGCTGCTCTTAACAGGCTTCCAACACGAGATCGACAAATTTCTTGGGGTTTGGATGTTTCTCATGTTTGCTTGCTTTGCGATGAACATGCTGAAACTCTTGATCACCTTTTCTTCCGTTGCCGCTACTCTTCGGCGCTTTGGCCTTCTGTCCTGCGGTCCTCCTTCACTCCGACAGAGGAACCGCGATGTTTCAGTGACCAACTACTTTGGCTCGGCAGCTGTAAGGGAGAGGTAAATTACATCCTAATCCTGAAGTTGTTGTTTCAAACGTGTCTGTACTATCTGTGGCAAGAGCGTAACGCTAGGTTGCATGGAGGTCAATCGAGGCCTCACTCGATCCTCCGTAAGGAGATTCTTAAGATTGTCCGTTGTAAACTCTCCGTCTTGCAGCTCTCTCCTGTACCGTTCAGTTCGAAGAGACTACTTACATCTTGGTTTCACACTTTTGATCCCCTTTTGTAAGCACTTGTTTACTTAACCTGAGCCATTTGATGAATATGTAACTACTGTTGAACTTTGTATATTTGGTTGATTTTATAAAATTACAGTTAACAAAAACAAAAAAAACTAAGTTTATGTTGTATCACTGTTTAAACATAATCAGTGGGTACCTAACCAGTATATTGTACAAGTCTATATTTGCACTACGTAACAAAAATATACATACTGATCATACAAGTCTATATTATTGTGCAAAAATATTGTACAATAAGTTAGTTAATATATAAACATCCATTTACACAAATATACCCCATTTTTATGTATCTGTAACTGTAGATCTAATACCACAAACCAAACTTAACCATGACGCAGAATTATATATACAATGTTTACGTATAAACCAAAAAAACATACTAGTTACACATTTTTATGGTTAAATACA